CTAATATAATCATTTTAACAATATTTCATCTGACAATAACTCAAAATAGTAAATAAACTGTGGTCGCCAACATGCCTGTCAAACATGGCAATATTGGCAAACCTGCGAGGCAATCTAAGGAGTAAACCTATGTTCTGCAGTGGACTTTTAATAGGCTGTAATGAATGAATAAAATGCTACTACATTACTTTCAATCATTACCATCGGTAGTCCCACAGGATTTTTAGATGGTTCTCAGGACAGAGGTTTTTATCAGAACCAATGGTAAAAATAAAAAATGACATTCAATAAGAATTATTTGTTATCTACAATTTATTGTTTTAGTAGTTCATTCACCAGGAAAACATAATCATTAAAATTTTGAAAACTTACCTGACTTCGATATAGTTCTCTGCAGTATTGTTATTATATGTGACAACTTGATTAGTTTTAGCATTTTTCAATAGCTCTATGTATTCGGTTCCAACAATTGGCCCTCCTCCATTGGCTGTGTATGAATTTCCATAAAAGTTTAAACCCAATAGAATTTTAGATCTCTTTTCAGGATTATCATCATTATCTATCAACTTTTCTACACAAAGTCTCATCCAAAATAAAGGTGCATTGGGACCTTGAATAAAGTATTATGAAAATTAGCATCTATAAAAAAATTCCTTCTAGAACTATTCTAGATGATAAAATAATTTTGTAAAGGTAAAATATGTAAAAATAATGTATCTATTAATGCATACATTTCAAATGTGTCTTCTTTCACCCTAACCTGCTTTGAAGGTAAGATTATAATTGAAACCAAAAACCAAAGTTCTTCAACCACTTCTCCCGTAAATTTGGAATTGCACACAAATTGCAATAATGCACAAGATGCAACAACTTTATGACACCTTAAATTTGTTTCATTTGAATTGAATGATTGTAAGATGATAAATAAATTCAAACTCTATGATAGAAGTTTTTTTTTAAGTATTTGGTACATAACAATCATAAAAAAGCAGAGAAATTATGCATAAGTATTTGATTCTTTAAAATACAAGAGTAGCATAGCATTTAATAACTTAACACACATTGAAGCATGGTCACTTCTTTCTGTTCAGTTCTGCATATTGTCTTTTACCAACAAACTAACCTGGTTTTTGCGGATTTGAAAAATCATATGTCATCACTGATACTGCTTCGACATATGGATAAATTTCATTGAGAGCTTGAATAAAGAACTCGTCACTAGGATATCCACGGAATGGTGGGTAAACTAAAATCAGCTTCAAAGCATCTTCATTCATTCCTAAACCTGTAAGTGATAAACTTTTCTTGAAACATAACTTTGATTAAAGAATTGATTAAGCCATGCTGGTGACAACAACTTCACGTTATAGCACATATCCACACAAATGTCGGGGTCATTTTGGCCAATATGGCGCATCTGTCAAGCACTTTCCGAAGTACTACTAATTAAGTATATAACAAGTATACTAAGTACATAATATGTAACTAAGTAACTATATTAAAACCATATATCAATGGTAACATTATTAAATAAGATAAAGAAGAGATATATATATATATATATATATCTTTATCTTATTCTACATATGTATATACATTAATATATATACATATATATATATATATATATATATATATATATAAATGTATATATATATATATATATGTTACAAATAGTTTGCTATCACTCGACGCCATATTATGGTGTTTAACAGATGCGCATATTATTTGAGATGCCAGAATATGGTGTTTGGATAGACGAGGGGATATGTTTCATGTGGACAGGAAATAAATATTTATGGAAATCCCACTTAAGCTCCTTGTTAATAGCAGTACCAGACATCTAGTACTACTTTCTTGAAACACTTACATATAATTGTAACTTAAATAATTATTCTTTAATCATATGTGGGACAAAACTTAAAGAAAGTTAATTCAAAATATTGTGAGAACTCACCAAAACTCTGAATAAACTTCACAGATTTATCAATGTACTTTCCAATCTGAGAAAAGAGTTCAAGAACAATTCCATCAAACTTCCATTGCTTACAAGCTTTTTTCACCTCGTCAATCAATGCTTTTTGCTCGGTATATGCTGTAGGCTCTATAAAGAAGGCTTTAAGATCTGATGGCTGCCAATTTTCGAACAGCAGTCGAGGAAGTACTGAAATTATAATTTAAGAGTAAAATATATATATTTCTTTTGTTTCATAATCATAACCTGGACATAATAGGGAGTAGTGTAATATAAGGCACAAATTATTTTTTGTAGTACCATGCTGGAAGGGTGACAGAACTACTTTATTAACTTGTACTTCTATCTATTTATCTAAATTAAATAAATATGTTAATTTAAGTTTCAACTATTTATATTGTCTATAAAAATTAGCAAGTGAAAATGTTGTAATATAAAAATTATAAATTTCATTGTTGCATGTACATCTAACATTTATTTTATCGTATAATTGGCATAGTGTTTAAATTAAAGGTACATACTTTTTAAATTGCTTTGAGAGCCTTTTTGTTTCACTGATTTCATCCAAGCATGATCTACATCATGCAAGCCAGATATTATATAAATGTTTGGAGATTGCCTCTTAATTTGCAACCATACAGGGGAAATATAATTGAACTTAGGGGCCCATGTCTTTGCAACATCATATCCTTTACTGTTCCACTAAAATACAATATTTTATTTGAGTACATTAACTATGAACAAAAACAATTCTAAGTTGAATCTTTTAACACAATATTATACTATATGCTAGGATGTTGAATGTGATAAATATCGTATGTAGTATTTTTCCATAAGACAATTATAACAAATCTAAAACTACCTACTCAATTACAAAAATTGTAAAACAATAATAACAAACTTACCGGTGTCACATAACCCAAAACTGGATTTTTAAAGTTTCTCAAAGCGATGTCCTGATGGTACGTAGCGTGATACTTGATGATATCTTTCGCATAAGGAGATTCAACAACTAATTTACGGTCTAAGACGTTGTTTTTCCTAGCACCTTCCTGTGGTTTAATACCTTTATGCGTCTTTTTTTCAGGTGGCGATAAAGTAGCCAGACAAGCATTAATTAAAAATAAAATATGTATGATAATAGTAACGCACTTCATTTTAGAAAAATATGCTATTAAAATTATTAGTACTTATAACGGTTTTATTTTAAAATAAAAAAGAAGAAAAGATGGTAATTGATAATAGTACAAATGCTGATAACATTATCACCTTCAACTTATCTTCTTGACTTGACAGTTGACACTTGACAGCTTTTTAACTTTTTTTTATTTAACTAGCTTTACGGCTCTGGGTACTAGCTCTTCTGAGCCTATCATTTCATTCAGAATCTTCATTTTATATATTTTTTCTTTACAATATGCAGGTGCGTCACATTGCGAAGTTTTTGGGAGATTTTGACGACAGCTCAACCCAGCGGACTGTTGATGACGACAGCCACTCAAGTTCATAAAGCTCCCAAGCGATCAAATTAATTTGAGGTTTATATCAACATCAAAGCACTTGTTTCGTCGTTTTCTCTAATAGTTCACACGCGCAGATACTTAATTCACAAAATCACATCACTTTTACGAATTAAAATCCACTTCAAACCAGTATTCAAGCGACAAAACTTCTTTTTTTACTTATTTATTATTATCTTAATGTAATTCATTACGGACATACGTACATGACTAAATTCTATATAAATTGAGTCAATTATTGATAAGTATTGTCTCGTTTTTCTTTTAATTTAATTTTCAAATAAGGCAAAAAGAGAAACACTATTGAAAGATATTGTTTGTAAAATAATTTATGCGAAAAGCTAGTATAACAGGTGGTCATCTTTGTCTTTGGTCTCTTTATGCCATAGATCTAGTATAACTATGCTTTTGCAAAGACATTTGATATCTTTGGCTTTAAGCTATGCTATTATAGATAAGAGTGAGTACACTCGTATCTTCAGATTTACTTTTGAGCATCTATGCTCAAAGAGATTTACAACCTACATCATGGAGGTTAGAGAACAGGAGAACGATCGCTACGTGCTAAAGCATACCCCGCCTGTCCCTGAAAACTTGTAGAATTTATAGCCGCGCTGCCGTCGGTAAATAGTATCTGCGAAGTAATTTTTTTTAATTATTGACTAAAAGAAACATTAAAAATGGTGAAATAATACAATAATAATAATAGTTGTTTTGGACGATGATGAAATAGTCTCCCACGAACTAGAACAAATGATTAACATAATGGAAGAGGCGATTTTGGAAACGCGCAGCATGCCTCTCGAAAATCGACCGTGACTTTCCCGCATACCCTTATGCAAGCGAAATCGGGCTGTCGTGAGGGCTCTTAACCCAATGCTGGTGACTTATTTGGAAGCCAGCCGAGACCTTTGCGAGACAGACACAATTTTTTTGGCGCCGCAGTGGCAGTTTGCCGTATTATTGGCGCCAAACTTCCCACGGCTAGACGCGCTACTAAATAAAGTAGCGCCATCCCAACCTGGAGAAAAAGAATCGAGAACCGTATGGCAAAGGCAAGTGCCCTTATCGGCAGACTGAACAGGTTCAGGACGGGTAATAATAGACCGAGGGTTGTGCGCGCCGTTAGAATGATATTTGCTGGGACAAATATCAGTTTGTCCCAGCCGGATATCACGCAGAAACTAACGGAGCGCAAAGAAGACCCGAAGCTAAAAATCGCTACTTGGAGGAAGCGGATTCGACAATTTACCGAGAGGTCATGGCGGTTTAACCAAAATCGTCTCTTTTAGAGTGATCAGAAGACGCTCTATAAATCATTGGAGCGACCAGAGGTATGTGGAGTGAGCCCAGGACCGGATCAGGCCGACACTGTCGCATTCTGGTATGACCTGTGGTAAGAGCCCGTAAACCACAGCGTTGGCTGGCTCGCCACAACTTCTATCCAACCTTGGATAGAAGTTGTGGCGAGTGTGCGAGTGCGAGTGTTACGCCTATGGACCCCGTCACCATAGCGCCGGAAGACGTGGCTGGGGTAGTCCGTAGGGCACCGTACTGGAAAAGTCCGGGTTTCGACGGGTTGCATCATTACTGGCTGAAGGGGTTCGTAGTGTGTCACAACTGTGCTCGCCCGACAGTTTCAAGAGGCTCTCGTCCAGAAGTCGCTCCCGAACCTCTTCACTACTCTGATCACTCACTTGGTTCCTAAAGACCAGGATACCACAGATCAGAGCAAATATCGCAACAATCTTGTTCCAATTCAAGCTTAAATTTAATTTTGTCGTGGAGTCTATTTTATTAAGGAAAACATCCGGTTGTCTCCTTGGTGCCAATCCACCAAATAATTATGTCGTCTACATATCGATAATAGTATAAGATATTTTGGTTGACAACTATATGTCGTTTTTTCAAAATTATCCATGAAAACGTCCGCCATAAGTGGACTTAGAGGGGACCTCATAGATAACTCTTCTTTTTGTTGATAGATACGGTTGTTTCAAATAGAGAGAGGTTTAGTTAAGAAGATCATTTGTTTTCCCGGGATGTAGACGACATTTATCAAAGAGATCTGCGAGTATACGCAAACAGTCAGGGGATGGGACATGAGGATGAAGTGACAACCTGGTAAGACATGCAGTAAGTCGATGGATGCAGGTAGCTCAGGACCGTGCCTTGTAGCATTCCTTGGGGAAGGCCTATATTCAGCAGTGGACTTGTGAAGGGCTGTAATGATGACGATGATGAAGTATGCAATAAATGTAGGTATATTAATTATCAATGACTTCACGAACCTATAACCAATCTAGGCTAAATTTTATCCGAAAAGCTAGGAAATTAAAACAAATAAGATAAAATATGTAGGTATGTGGAAATGCGTTGGGACGTGGGAGTGGCACCGCTCAGTTGTTTAATTGTCACAAGGAAGGGCACATGCTCGATCTTTTCGTTTTTTCCTTAGTTTTTCGTTTATTGTGATTGAAGTTTTAAAAAATGAGTACCAACATAGAAGATATTTATACGGACTACCTCATAACATTACTCCAAGAAAGGGAAATTCTATGGGATAAGTCCAAAATAGACTTTAAAAATAAAAATATGAAAACAAAAGCATGAGAGCTAATTGCTAAAATTTTATATCCAGACTATGATAATTTTGCTCCTGATATAAAGACTGCTTCTTGGTGATTGGTCAGTAACTATTTAGTGTTTTAATGATGATTAAATCTTCTGCAACTGCCATTGGAGAGACCCTCTATTGCTCATAAAATAGCTTGCGCTCACCACGCATAATCGCGAAGTGTGCAGCCTCCGTAATTACTTCCTGGCGAGATCGGATGTTCCATTCTATAAGGATATTATTTCTTGTGATAAAGAACTTACCCCTCTATCCTTAGCCAACGAGCAATGGCAAGATCCGGCAGTACAGAGCACTTCCTACTGGGAGACCGTATGGAAGGAGAAGGTGCTCCACGGGAGGTTCTTCAAGGCTCTACGTGAGCCTTTCGTAGACACAGTAGCCTCCCTCCACTGGCCACGCTTTGATGATCTCTTCGGGGAAACCGAGCGTTTTGTCTGTGCAATACAGGATCAGGTTATTAAGACCAACAACTATCGGAGATACATCCTAAAGGATGGCACCTTCGACATCTGTCAAGCTTATCGCTATCCCGGTGAGTCACTTAGGCATGTCATCTCCGGTTGTTCGACGCTTTCTAACTCTGAGTACTTGCACAGGCACAACCTAGTAGCCAGAATTCTTCACCAGGAGCTCGCTCTGAAATTCATCTGTAATAATATTTGCTGCTGTCATCTCTTCATCTTGAGGTTGTAATGAGTAAAATTCATCATCAATTATTGCCAATTTATCCTTTTGCCGAAAACCATCCTGATCTGCGACAAAATTGTGTAGGAGACAACTTGCCTTTACAATGTTTGTAGCAAAATTATAGGACACATATATCGGTCTGTGAAAAATTCGCCATTTATTCTTCATAATCTCAAAAGCACATTTGACATATCTTCTGGCCCTGCTGAGACGATAATTGTAAATTCTTTGTTGAACATTGAGATTGTTACCTCCATATGGACGCATGTTGTGGTTGCTCACTCCAAAAGCTTCGTCACCCACAAATAGATACATACGTGGTTCGTCTATTGGAACCACATAGTGTCTGGGGATTAGGCAATGGTAGGTCATTGTTAATGAGTTTCGCATTTTTTACCGTATGCGCCAATGTCGATAAAAATAAATTTGTAGTTTGAGTCCACAACAGCCAAGAACACCATAAAGAAAAAGGCTTTGTAATTAAAAAGCGAGCCACAATTAGCAGGATTACGCGTGCGAATATGCTTCCCATCGAGGGCACCGATGGAGTGAGGAAAATTCGCTCTGAAATCGAAACTAGATGCAATATTTTTGACTCTTTCTGTTGTTAGTTCGGAAATATTGTCTCGTAGAAGAGTTTTCCATATAGCACGACAAACTCTCCTAATCGTATAGGTTCTAATCTAATCGTAAATTTTCTCCGTTTGAATTTGTACTCCAAATCTTATCGTGAATTTCCACTTCCTAGGTATATATAGCAAAAACGTTTATTTAAATAATAAAATCTCAACTCATCTTAATGTTAAACTGATTTGTTATTTTATTTTCAGGTAACGATATAGTGAAAAATGGAGAAGTGTCAAAGATAACTTCTATAAGTATTTAAAAAGTTAAAAGAGTCATCTAAATCTGGCGCAGCCACTAAAAAATTGAAAATATATCATTTTTACAATCAACTTCTATTTTTAACAAAAGTGGCACATAAAGAGATAGACAGTAGCTTAGACGTAGCTGGAGAAACCAACACCGATTCTACAAGTGATATTGCACCAAAGTTTTAACGTTATGTTCCTATCACCCGCAAAAGAACAATGCTGGCTAATGATTTTGAAAGGGAAGCATTAAAAGTCCTTAAGGAGCCCGAAGATCACCACTTGTCATTTTTAAGGATATTTTGCCATCAATTCAAGATTTCACAGACCTTCAAACTATCACCTTTCAGAGCAAAGTGTTACAAATTAATTGCAAAATAATAAAAGTAAATGCGGTATGGCTCGATGTCCTAACAATCATCATCATATAAGTTTGAACAAACGTGTCAACAGCCTTCATCACACGGGTATTATACAAGAAGTTACAGAAGTACATACACACCAACAGACTTGAACTCAGATTGTAATTCATTGACATCTCCAGGTGAAACATCTCAAGACAAGAGTACGATTTTGCAAATTTGAAATTACGATTTCTCAAGATTAATATTAAGAAGATTACTCGTAATAAGATTGATTATGATTATTAAGGTTTCCTTTTTTGATAATTTTGAAATTAAAAAGCATTATTAAAGAAAATAATTTTAATTACTTACCTCAAAGTGATGCCCAGCATTTCTACTGGCTCCATTGGATTCCTCATGTTAGTATAATGTTTCTGTATGTGTGCTTCTAAAGATTTCAATAAACATTCGAAACTTGACACACTCATTCGAAAGAAATTGTAAAACCTCTTTCCGTCTAACAGCAACTCTTTATATTCTTGGAGAAAAATACTGTCCATCACCGTTCCTTAGTGCAATAAAGGGACTGATCCAGTATTGTCGTACGCTTGTACGTCGATTCCGGCGTTGGCGTTAATTAGTGCGGCCAACAACAGACGTCTTTTACCATCCATTTTTATTAACAGACTGTCTAACACTGCTGGGGCGCCAGCGGCGCCGCTGCAACGTTACAACATTGCGGCGCCACACCGATCGTATGCCCGTAGATACGGTGAAATATTTGCGGTGCGGCGCCGCAACGCATCGTGTGCCCGCCGATACGGTGAAATATTTGCGGTGCAGCACCGCAACGCATTGTATGCCCCCGCTCTTAATCAGACACACAAAAGTTCATCAAAATTGATCCACCCGTTTAGGAGGAGTTCACTCACGGACAGACGATTGCTCATCTCCCGTGTTACAGTAAACGGTTCGTATCCTATACATAATTGTTCGGGATATTTTGAAAGTAGACATTGCAGGAAAACTAAATAAGATAAGTACCTACTCCTGTATTATTATCAGACGTATTACAATTTCATTATTACGAAATACATAAAAATTTCTAGTAAAAAATACCCAAGAACACGAAAAGATACATGATCAAAACGTAAATCCAAAGACCATATTATAATGACTACGTTCTAATCCTTTTACTTCCCGTACCCAGTGGTGGCCCTAGAATAATTTTTAGGTGGTGCGAGATCCCATAGTGGCGCCACCTTTCTGACACATTGTAGAAACGTAGGTTTTGTTTTAACTTTTACTGTACTAAAACTTCATTTCCGTTTAGCGACAGTTATAATATAGGTATAGTCTGCAAGATACGAAGTGCTGTCTACACATTTAGGAAAAATATCTGTCAATCATTATTTTTAATTTATTTTAAACTTATTAAAATAAAATTAAGTCTAAACTTTAAATAAAGGGTACAAGCTCATAAGTTTCTGAACAAATTTACAACTAGCCAAATCACATTACGCCCATCTCTTCAACTGATATTATTTTAATTTTGTATAAACAGAACACGTATTACTTTTAATTGTATCGATCACGGGGTAAAAAACTTCTGAAGCGAATTTACGATCAAAAGCCTCGATTAAGATTTTAAAATGTTTTAAGCTCGGTGTATCAGACCAGATCTTGAGTGATTTAGTGTGATATGGAGTTTCAAGGGTCAATCGGGCTAGGTTTTTTAGATTCCACAAAATAGCTCGGTTCCAAATTGTGTGCTCTTTATTCCTTCCCGTGCAAGCTCACAGGCAAGTTCATTGCCTAAAATACCCGCGTGGCACGTAGATTAGACGGTTCACGCAGTCTCAAACTAGCTTCGAGTTCACTAAGTTTGATCTCAGCGCTAGTATGATGAAAATTTCTGCCTGGAAGATAGAGGTAAATCTACGCTAATTCATACTTTTACTTTGGGGCATTCCCCATAAATTCCAAAGCCTATATCGAGGACATTTTTGACCCATCGTTGTACCATATAAGGCCACCGACCTCACAGATAACCCGTCCATTCAGCCACTCTTCTCTGAAGGGTAGTTCCACTATTTACTTTTTATTAAAAGTGTATAGTGGACGCATGATATCTGAAATCATGCATACGACCCGTGTGTCTTTAATTGAGTCGAGCATGATCTCAATTTTAGGAGAGCAGACCGTCCTGGGCGTTAATATTATACAAACTAGGTCTCGCCTCCTGATCTAAAAAAAGATCAAGGGGCGTTAGGTACCGAAGTGCATTAAGAGCTGCTCCAGGTGATAATCGCATAGCTCCAGTAGCCATTAATCAGGCAGTCCTTTGTAGACTATTTGGTCTGTCCACAGTTGTCTTTGGCCTTATTACACCACACAATGGAGGCGTAGGTGATAATCGGTCTCACTATACTTCTGTACAGCCATAGGATCATACTGGGACGCAAGCCCCAGTTGTTCCCAACCATATGGATGCACCGCTCGCACCGCCCTAGGGTCGTCACTGCCCGCACCCGTTGTACTTACGAACCTCCCCAGCTTCACACAGGCAATATCTGGATCTCGTTAACAAAAATTCATCAAAGTCGAATGAGCCAGTTTCGAGTTTTAGCGAAACTAACGGACATCAATTGAATTTTATAAATAAAGCTTATCGCTGCGACAGATTATCGACAGAGGGTCGGGCTGCTAGTGCCGGGTGGAAATTGCAGGAATCGGAAAGCTAGCAAATCGTTACTATTATAAGAGGTTCCATGTCTACGGCGGACTGTTCGGGTCGGGTAAAAAAGAAAGAAAGAAAGAAAAAGTAAAAGTTGATGGAAAATTGTGATTAGACTAAAAATAATTTAAAGATATTCAATATACCGTCTGCTTACTGGTAAAACAAGATAAAGAAAAAGACATGGTAAAACAAAATAAATGGATATAGAACCACGAGCAAGGAATAGAGTGAATGGGGCACTACACTCTATTATGAAGAACCAGAATGTGTCAAAAAGGCACGTATGTGCATAGCACGTATATAATATTCATAATGCTGTGCTAGTCCCTACTTTAATGTATGGTAGTGAAAGCTGGGTATGGCAGAAGAAGCACGAGAGTAGAATAAATGCAGTAGAAATGCGGTCGCTAAGGAGTATGTTAGGGCTGAATCTGAATGACAGGGTGAGAAATTGCGTGATAAGAGATAAATGTGGTATGCAAGATGATGTTGTGACCAGGATTAAGAAAGGAATGCTTTGGTGGTTTGGTCATGTAGAAAGAATGAATGAGGAAAAAGTGACAAAGCAAATTTATATGGCAGATGTGAACGGCAGAGTCGGGAAGGGACGCCCTAGAAAAAAGTTCACCGACCAAATTGGCGATATTTTGAAAATGGGCCACGTTAGAAGTACCCTTAACCGACGAGCATGTATGCGTATATATATGGATATGTATATATATGGATGTAAAGGAGGCGAAAAAAGGTATGTCAGGATCGTGCCAAATGGAAGTCCGTAGTCTCTGCCTACCCCTCTGGGTGACAGGCGTGAGTGTTTATATTATGTTTATATTATTATGTTACTAAATCGAGTTAAAAATGCAGTAACATGTAATTTTTTACGGTATATAATATATAATCTGGTGGTAAACCCAATAAATGCAGAGTCCAATGACTGCAGAGATAAAGAGTTTGTAAAAGTGATATCTTCACACATTTTGAAAAAATATGCCAGTATAACATAATAAATAATCTTATAGCTTCTATTCGTTTCAGTTTATACTTTATACAGTTAAACAACAATAAATACGGTTAAACCTTTTACATTTTATAATTTAAATAATAAAAAGGTAAGAATTTTTCTGTGAAAAGGTCATAAACGCATTTAATATTATGAACCATATAATTTAAGTACCATAACTATAATAAAGATATTTATTTAAAACGAAATAAATGTCATTTATGCTTTTTTTCCCTGTAGGATATACCAGTGTTGCCGACTTGACGGGATTCCCGTTAGATTTGACAGGACAGCGAGGTTGGCAACGGGAAAAATTTGTGTTTAACGGGTTAACGGTTTTTTTAACGGGACAACAAAAATTTATGTTTTTTTTTTGATTTGTTTTTATTAATTAATTTTTTTAGTTTAAAAATACGAAAAAATGTGCAATACATTCTTATCTTTAAAAAGTTCAGAGAGTAAATTTTCATTTGACGTAATTCTTTTAAATGCAGCTCGGAAACTGTTTTGTCGTTGGTCGGCCAAAATCATGCGCTACTGTTGAATATATAGAAAACTATCAACTACTCTATTTATTTCATTCTCTCTCTTTACTGTTTGAGTCGCATATCCTGTGAACCTGTGATATCCTGAAAGTCAATAAGTTTTAGTTCGATAAAATGACTTTATTACCTATAGCATGTAGTAGATGGCGCTATTACAAATAGAAAATGTTCGGTTCCCAATGGATATCACAGACTCAACGGAGTACTGGAGCCCGAAGTGATCCAATTGAATGATCGATCCGAATGTACCAGTACGCGTGACTAAATGTACTAGAATGATTCGGTCACTAGAAATGAATGATTGACACTTGTCTACCGTACTTGACGGGATTTGACGGGATTATAGTCAAAGATGTTTTATAGGTACAGATACCGTGTGCGCGCCCCTAAAACGCTTCCATTTAAAAGGCGCCAATATTGGCGTATTCGTTCGAACGTACCGCCATTACGCCAGCGACGTTCACTGAGAACATACGTCACGAACCGGTGTTTTTAATTTCGCAAAATGACTGTTTGTGCTGTGAAATAATGTAAAAACTACTCTTGGAAAAAAGATAAAGATAAGAACATCATTTTTCGTAAGTTAACATACAATATTCCGGTGTATTTATTTGTAAAACAATACGAAAGCTAAATGTCAATACAAGTAATAATACAATGCAATAATATTTGAGTGTTGCCTAGCCTATGAAATGTTTTTACCATTTTTTAATTTCATGATTAACCGAAAAGTTTATTTGTATAGGGGTTTTAAACGGTTTAATTTTACGAGTTTTAGCCAACCAATAGAGTTAAACCATTTTAAGGCTTAGGGTTGAATTACATCTGGCTGCACGGAATCGCACTTTACTGTGCTTCTATCCCTTTTGGTCACTTAGAACCGTCATTTACTAGATCGAGAAAGAGTATACATAAACGTCTATTTTGATTTTTAATTTATTTTTAACTGTTACATTAATTATAGTTTTATTACTTATCTTCAATATTTTAGTGCGATTTTCGTGCCTACATAAAACACACAACCAACCATAACCCCATACACACACGCACAAAAATGCACACGCCTCGCACACACATTTTGCACTCGTCATCAGTAGGTATGTCAATATAAATGAAATATAAAATCTCCCACAT